GGAATCGGTTTTGTTTGGACAGTATAGAAAGAGTGTAGAGAGTGGGGGAGCAGAGAAGAAAGTGGGGGGAAGAGGGGAGCAGAATGACACCGTGGTGGCAGTAGCCCGGTACCAGGGCCCTTATTTCGTTTTCTCAGAAAATTTCTGCTACTAGCCTCTCAGTTCTGGCTGGGGAAAGTCCAGTTCCTTAAAGGCAAATATTAAACCCACACACAAGCTCACCGTGCTGTTGTTGGGAACAAGGCCACCCCCTCAAAGTTGGGCAATGCTGGAGGTGAAGGGCCACGATTCTAGCGGGACCTGGGGGTGGGGTGGAGTGTTAGACAGGGGAAGAACTGGGGAACAACAGAATGGTGAAAACCCTGGGGCCATGACTGTAAGCACTGCTTGTCTGTATAGTCACCCATAGAGACCCATAGAGGACAGTATGAGGGAAGAATTCTCAAAGCTGGACACTCTGGGGAGGCAGGAGTTAATGTCTTTGGACAGGTGTGGGGACACAGGCGGGGAGAGGCATCTCCTTCATATGAACTTGGCAAGACTGAGAGAGCCCCCCACACCCATTTTCCACCCGGAGCATAAGGCACGTGGGGAATGTTCCCCTTTCAAATTCCAGTCCGCATCAATCACCCCCGTGTCCTATTCCAAGAACATCTGGCCTGTCTCCCCCCGCAACACACCCATGCTGCCCCCCTTCCACCAGCCTCTCCCTGGCTTTTCTGGCCTGCCTGGGTGTGTGCCTATAGACTCTAGGAAGCTTCCAGCTAGGAAGACTGGGGTATGATGATGCTCCCCATTCTGGGGGGACTTGTAAATTTGTTGAGAGTGAGGAACATTAAAAAAAAAAAAAAAAAAGGTGTCTTTGAACACCCAGCCTTTTTGAAGCCAGAGCAGGCTACAGCCCTCTGCTCAGGGTCTGCTTTAGGAAGAAATGGCAGGCTGGCTCCCAAGGGCCAGCTAGAAGGTTCTCTACCTTTCCCCAAATGGCACAGGTTGAGGATGAGCAAGAAATGGGGACCCGAGACCCCTTTCCGGAGTCCTGCTTCCTTGCTCATGAGGGACATCTGAGAAGGCAACAATCACACCAGTGACCTGTTTCATGGCCTAATCTCTGCTTCCTGCCCTGCAGAGGTGCCTTGGAGAAGCCACAGGAACACCCCGGGAGCCACACTTCTGGATTTTTGCCAGGTAAGGGGATTCTGAGGTCACCTTGGGGTGCCCACCGAAGAGCCACCAGGGCATGCAGGCAGGGTAGGGTTGGGGCTCGGGTCGGGACATGCATGCTCTCCTTCCTCTACTGTGGCTGCCCATTGAGCCTTCACCTGGCCTTATTTAGTAAAAGTGAGGCTCAAGGAGCAGGGAGGAGGTTGGTACAGTTCCGGGTCAACCTA